AGATTTTTTATTAAAAAATTAAGGCTAATGTTTTCTTGACAAAAATATAAGGTAATGAAATGAATGCTATTAACAAAGGTTATTTTAAAGTTATATGAAATCGAATGTGCCAGATTACAATCATAAGATCAGTATGCTTGCAATTTGGTGTAAATCAACCTTGCGTAGCGTAAATCATTTTGGCAAATTCGATCGAGAGAAAAAAAAATTTCGACTGAGAGAAAATTTAGAAGAGAAAGTAATGTACAAACACAAAAGAAGAAGGGGGAGAAAAAAATATTAATAATTTTATAAATTGGTAAGAAATGTTTCGGGCCATTAAGTCATATACATTTCTTACCGTTACCACAACTATATCACATTTTCAGGTCGTTGGACGTACATTTTCTGATTTGGCAGTTATTCCAATCTCTCTTCCGAGCAGCCAGCCATTGCGCAATTACGTTTCACTTATTTCAAATGATGTTCTTGCTGTGGGAAGCTCTAAGGAAGCAAAGCTAGTTTTACAGGTTGCGTTTTTTTTTGTAAGTTAATCAGCAAAAAATCATATTTGCCGAATCCAAGATTCCAAAGGCTTTAACATTTAAAAACGAAGAATGCTTCGCTTCGGCATGAAACCTCAGCCGTTGTTATCCAAGAATCATTTTTCGTGTAGTAGATCAAATAATGATTAATGCTTTTTGTTAAAAGTAGGTTAAAGAACAACTGCGTTACTATGACAGAATATCCCTGTCCCTGGTTCAAACTTTGGCCATCCTACCCTCATTGAACTTTCGATCTTTGTCCCCTGCGGTATAAAAGCAATCTCCCCATTGCCTGGATCGCCACTACTCATCCGCCACTGCAACCTATTTTTATGCGTTTTTGCTGTGCAGCGCTATAGCAACGCTGCTGCTACAGCCAGCAAAAACGCATATTGTCGAAAGGCAGTCTGTATGTGTGTGTGTTTTCGCAAAGCGAGTGCATTTTGTCACCCACTTTCAACTCGGCAACCAGGAAAGCTG